AGGGCGGCGCTCGTATATAAGCCAGCTCTCGTAGATAAGCCAGCTCTCGTATATAAGACGGCGCTCGGCGCTTTTTGTGCCAATTCATTTTTGCCAGAATTTTCGCTAAAAGTACGCCGCTCGTATAGAAGGCTCGTATATAATTTTTCCCAAGTGTGCGTTTTAAAAAAATGCATTACTCGTGAGGAACACACTCTAATCTGTTGATTTGTAGAAAAGCTTCTAATTTCTAGATTTGTAGAAAAGCTATAGTCTATAGCTAGATTTGTAGAAAAAGCTCAACAGAGCATTTCTTCAATATTAAAAGATCTAAAGAAGCATTCTACTACTTGAGAATCAAAAGCTTAACTCTTAAACTCAACGCCTAAGCCCTACGGCCTTTGCAAACTTTTCTTTGTCTCAAAAGTTTTAATCAGAGCTGAGAAAAGAAATGAATCCCATCGACAATTGGAGGGAAAATGAGAGCCAGAGAGGGGAACACAAGGGTCCCCGTCCATCAACCATTTGGCCTCACGTTTTTTTCAATCTTTGACTCCAATGTCTTGAGCCATGCAAAAGGATCAAAGTTCTTGGGATCCTTTTCACGAAATGAGTTTCATTTTGATGAAAGCTGCGAAGTTTTTCCTTAAAACTTTGAGATTAGCAAAACGCAAAAAGCAAAAGCAAAAAAGCAAACGAATGCTCGTTTTGTGGGAAGCTGAATCATTTTTTAACTATCTCTGGCAATTTCTAGATTTTGATTTTGTATTTTGAATTTGCAAAAGTTTTGAGGCAAGTGGTTGAGTGGATTCTACTGTTTAAAAACCAAAGAGTGGTTTTTAAATAGTAGAATCACAAATAACAAAGATTACGGCAATTTACTTGATTTAGAGGATAAAGCTGATCAAAAAAACAAAGATCAAAAAGATATTAAAAGATCAAAACAACGATCAAAACATATTAAAATGTCAAAACAAAGATCAAAACAAAGATCAAAGCATTTAAAAGATCAAAACAAACGGGCTATGAGTGCCTTAAAGTTTAAAATGTTAACTTTAGCGTCAAGTCTTGCTTTAAGTTATTTTTCAATTTGTTTTTAAATGTTTAAATGATAAATGATTGAATAGTGTTAAGTTAAATGGTTGATTTTCGTGAGTAATTGATTTGTTTGTCATTGTTAAAGTTAAAGTTAAAGTCATTGTTTCCCAAATTTACTCTGAAATTTCTGAAATTTCTGAAATTCTGAAGCGATTCTGTAAACATTTCCAAAGTAGATTTTTCTCAAGTAGAGATAGCAATTTCCAATGATTTCCTGGTTTTGTTTACTTGAGATTCACTTCAGATTACTTGGTTCTTTGCTTCTAACTTTATTTAAACAAAATTCAACTAAATCTTTTGTTTGAAAAGAGTTTAAAAGTTTGAAGTTTTGAAGTTTGAAAAAGAATTTTAAAAAAACAGAGAATAAAGATCCGTTTTTGAATTTTTTTTAGTAAAAAATGATCTCAAATCGTAGAAATTGCATTAGGTGTGTGAAAAAGTAATCCACGTTTTTTATTTTTATCTGATGACCAAATAAGACGCTGTCTTCTCGAAAACCCTCGTTCAACCTCTTCAGAAATAGGCCTTACATTAAATTGTGATGGGTCAACCGTAAGGGAAACGCTTGAATGCCATGAATTTTATCAAAAATTTGGACAAATGGATACCGCATGAACGATAACGCGCGACCACATGTCTCTTTACAGACTCGACAAAAAATCCAGAGTGTTGGATGGGAGGTTTTATCACATCCACCTTATAGTCCAGACCTTTCTCCATCTGATTATTATTTATTCTTGTCTCTGTCTAACTTTTTGGCCAATAAACCGTTCAATTCAATTCAATTCCGAAGAAGATGTCAAAAACCGAGGTTGCTCTTTTCTTCGCCTCTAAGGACCAAGATTTTTATTATCGTGGAATGTCTTTACTTGTAGAACGTTGGCAAAAGGTTGTTCTTTCGAATGGTGATTACTTCGTTGAATAAAAAATTATTTTAACGAAACTTATGGTCTTTTATATTTAAACGTTAAAAACGTGGATTACTTTTTCACACACCTAATAGAAGCTAATCTAAATGCTGCAAATTAGATCAAACGAAAGGAAACAAGTGAAATAAACTTTGAAAAGAAACAAGTGAAAAGAAACAAGTGAAAAGAAACAAGTGAAAAAAAAACTGTTGCAAAACTAGAATCTAAAGAGTTCAAAGAATTCTCGAAAGAAAAGAAAGGATCCGATTTCTGAAACTTGTCGATTTTTCTTAAGAAAAGGTGTTTCCGAGAGGGAAAAAACGAGAAACTACGTCTTTTTCTCAAATATTTGAAATCATTTGACTGCTCGTGTAGACTTCCGGAGATTCGTTCACAAAAATTCCTCAAAGAGATGGATTTGCGAAATTTTTGAGTCAGATTTTTCGGCCAATCCTCCAAAATCTCGACACGGATCATTAAAATTTCAAAAGATTTTAGTTTTGGAGAAAACGAGGGGATTAGAGGATTTCGCTTTGGAGTTCTTTTTGAAAGTTGAAGATGTTTCGAAAAATAGGATATAATGAAGACTTTTGATCTTGTAAGAAGAAAGATTGCTTTCAAGAGAACAAGTCTTAATTGTCTTAATTGTAAGACTCTAAAGCAGTCTCTTTGCCATTCTTCTTTGCAAAATGACTTTCTAGTAAAAAGTTTTGCAAAGAACGAATCGAACCCGAGCAAGAAAAATCAGCGCTCGCCTCGTATGCCAGCATTGGATCCACTACACTATCAACCCACCTCGGAGACCCGTGAGAGAACCCTTATAAAGGCCTTCGGCTCCAAATTTTCGCATTTTCATTTTAAACCTGAAACATGCATAATTATAAGGGTTCTCTGCCGACTGCTTTGAAAAAAATGAAATACTAAAAAACTTTTGCGACTACGCGACTGTACGAGGGGGCTGGGGTACTATTACAGTAAAGTTTGAGGCATAATTACCGTAAATTCTATAATAGTACCCCATTCCCCTCGTACAGTCGCGTAGTCGCGAAAGTTTTTAGTATTTCATTTTTTCAAAGCACCCGTACTTTCAAAAAATGCGTCTTTGGTATCAAAAAATTGCTGAAATTGAGGGCTATTTTTTGATACCTAAGCGCGCATTGTAACATAAACCAGTGTCGAGAAACACTCGTTCAAAGCTAGACTACCCAACGCTCTGCACCGTCGTTATGGGGGTGCGGTACTATTACAGTATTTACGGTAGATATTATAAACCGAATGCGAAACCGTTTGCTTTTATACAACAAAAGTTGACATTTCAAAATGCTTCTTTAAAGCGTTTTCTCTAAATAATTCTTTAAGCTTTATTTCTTTTAAAATAAACCATAGTGAAAATGAGAAATTCTTTGGTTTCTTTTCTTTTCTCACCCTTCCTCTTTTATTTCTTCCTTTTCCGGATTTTGGAGGTGTTATTTCCGAAAGAGTGGGCCTCAATTGCCACAAAAATTGTGTCTGCTGAATTCTTTGGGCAAAAAAAACCCTTTCGTTTTAGATTTCACTCTTCAAATGAAGAGAAAGAAAGGAACGTCTCGAGACAAATCGAATTGGGGAAGATTTGATTTGAAACTTGAAATTTAGACTTTTTTTTGAGAAGAAAGCTTAAAGACTTATGTTTCATTGGATTTGAGTGGGGAATTTCAAAGTTTAAGAAGAAAAAGAAAGCTAAAGCCTAAAGAAAGCTACCTAAAGATATGTGGATAAAATTTTAACGAAAGTCTGGTCAAAAATTCAATCTTTGTCTTGTCAAAGTTCAATTTATCGATAAAAAGTTCAATTTATCAATAAAATATTCAATTTATCGATAAATAAGTTCAATAAGTTATTGAATTTTCTATCATCTTTCTCAGAAATGTACCTAATTTTGGCTTGGTTTGATTCATAAGCTCTAAGGTTCAATTGGAAAAACTCCAAGTTTCAAATGAGCCTTTCTATTGGGTTGATGGAAAAGTCCTTTCCGATTTTTTGGGAGAGTACCTTAAATTTGTCCAATTTTGATGTTTTATAGCTTATCCTAAAGCTGAATTCAAGACGGATCGATTGGTAAAAACTGTTTTGAGATATCTCTTTTCTAAAAGTTTTTACAGCTATTTTAGTAAAGGGCGGCAGAGCCAAAAAATGACTGTTTTCACGTTTCGTTAGTTTTCCGTGCAGAAACCTAGGCTAAAAACATGTGTTTCGTGATCAGCGTCAAAAATAACCCCTATACACGCATTTTCAGAATCTTAGCAACAAATTTTTGAAAAATATTGTCACCGGTGAAAGTCGAACCAGCGACCCTCAGATCAATAGCCTTTCCGCCGCTTTTCGCGATTTTCCTTCGTTTTTCTCGTTTTTCTCTGAAAACGCCCTTTACTAAAATAGCTGTTAGAAACTTTTTTAAAAAAGAGATATCTCAAAACGGTTTTTACCAATCGATCCGTCTTAAATTCAGCTTTAGGATGAGCTATAAAACGTCAAAATTGGACAAATTTAAGGTACTCTCCCAAAAAATCGGAAAGGACTTTTCCATCAACCCAATAGATCGAAAACTAAAAAAACACAAAGTTTTTTAGGTAATTCTTTGTGTATAAAGCTTAGCCTCAAGTTTGAAAGACCAATTTGAAGACCAAGACCAAGACCAGATAAACGCGATAGGTCAAATTACAGAGAATTGTCGCTTTTCCCTATGCATAACTCCATCCGTTTGCTTCCACAAGCTCTTCTATATCAAAATTTAAATTCTACGCCCTAAAATCACCTAGAAAAACAAATTTTTGAAGAGAAATTTGTTAATATTAGCTTTTTAGAGCTTTTTAAAAAAAAGAGGTGCGCTAATAGGCAGAGTGTGCAGAAAAAGGCGCAAATGTTCGGCTGTCCAAAAATAAGTAGCATTTGTCCCATTCCCATTTTTTTTCTGTTTTCTTTTTTATCACTTTTCAATTGCCAGTTTCTATCTAAATAATATTTTTTTAGGTAACGATGAGTGAACGGATTCGCGGAATGAGAGACCGTCGAGAAAATGAGCTGAACGGCTTCCTCGAGGAGGAACGGGAACATTTACGAGTCTACAACGACGAGCAAGGAAACAACTTGAATGATGGTCAACCGGCGAACTTAATTGATAGTCAACCGGAGAATTTGCATGATGGTCAACCGGGAAACTTGCATGATGGTCAACCGGCGAACTTAATTAAAATGGTCAACCGGAGAACGTGCATGATGATCAACCGGAGAATTTGTATGATGGTCAAGCGGCGAACTTAATTGATAATCAACCGGAGAACTTGCATGATGGTCAACCGGAGAACGTGCATGATGGTCAACCGGAGAATTTGCATGATGGTCAACCGGCGAACTTGCATGATGGTCAACCGGAGAATTTACATGATGATCAACCGGAGAATTTACGTTATGGTCAATCGGAGAACGTGCATGATGGTCAACCGGAGAACTTGATTGATGGTCAACCGGAGAAAGTGGAGAAGCGAACGACGAGAATGAGAACGCGAAAACGCAAAGCATACCCGAGAGCAAAGCCTACTTTGCTAAATGTTGCTAAGCCTAAATGTTCGGGTGCACAAAAATAAGTCGTATTTGTCCCACTCCCGTTTCCAAAGCTGCATTTATTTGGAATTATTACCGACTGTCTGCTTCTTTTTCTTTTGTGACTAGTTTCTAGTCATTGCTCTTGCTCTTTCTAATCAGATAAGGCCATTGCTAGCAAGAAAGCGATCGATTTTTCGAGTGAAACTCTCTCAAGCGATAATTCAGTTTCAGAGAATTCTGTAAATTTTCTGCAATCTAAAAGAATTCGAAATTTCCGCCTACTGGTGACAAGTCAAAGTCCCTTGTCAGAAATTTTTACTGGTCTTTTATGACCATATTAATTTCCGAAAGCGCAAGTCCGGCTGATAACAAGAATCGTTGAGATTTCTTTCGATTGATTGATTATTTCTTGTGATTTTTGTTTAGATCTATTATTCTTGATTCATGCTGCTGCTAATATCGACAGGTGACTTCATCTTTGTGATTGAAAATCTCAATACGACTTTTGGATTGTCGTTTTCGGATTAATCGCCATCGAAGCTTATCAAAAGCAATCAGTGCCCGTATCCATGAACTTTCCAAACGGTTTGGAATTTCAAGTGCGCAAAATTCCAAACCATTTTACTAAGCGATGATTTCACTCTTTGAGATACTTTTTTGAAATAGTTGAACACAATTATCCATTGCATAACAACTCCAAAAAATAGATTCAAAAAACTAACTCATCGCTTAGTGAAACGGTTTGGAATTTTTCGCATTTGGAATACCAAACCGTTTGAAACGTTCATGGATACGGGCATAGGTATCATTTCAGTTTTCCTTCTGTTTCGTGGTTGTCAAGCGGCTGGTGCTAGCGCCTCTCAAAGAGGACAATGGACATTCGTTGACGGAGCTACCGGAGGAAACTGCATTATCATGTATGCACAGATTGATCTCACTCTCTCCTACTATTCGGGAACAGCACAAGAACAGGTGAGATTTGCGTCGAATTTTGACGATTGGATGATTTTCATTTTCATTTTCATTGGACGATTTCCAGTGGCCGCAACTTAAAAGCTCCCAAGACCTAAAAGCTAAAGTTTACTTCAGAGTTCATAAAGTAACTATTTAAAATAAATTAAAGATGTCTTTCAAGTAGAATTCAGTGTAAATATCTGTAGGTAATGAAATGCTTTTTGCGCAGATATACTGTGAGTCAAGGAACTGAAGCTTTACGGTATTTGAAACAGTTCTGCTCGTTAAGTATTAGAGTAAATACTCTAATAGAAGCGCGGTTATAAGAGCGTCGCGTAGTCTAAGTTTACTCTTAAAGAACCGCTCATTTCTCAGCGCCCAGACGTTTGTTTTTTCGCGCTTAGTTATCAAATTAAAGTAGAGAGGATGAGTGATTTTTTGAGATAACACATATTTTTAGCATTAACCAGCGCTTAGAAAAAATTATTGAAAGATGAGGAAAAACCGGCTTTTTTGCCACTTTTCATTAAAAGGGAAGAAAATCTTACTGACAATTATGGAAATGAAGCGAATTTGAAACAGATTATTTACCAATGTCAGCAGAAATGCATAAAATTTAGAAAGATGTCTCTCTTACAATTCCTGCCGCCTCAACGCCTAGTGGTAACTGCAATGATAAAGTGTACATCAATGGAGAGGCAAAAGATTCGCAGCAACTCGTCCTCGATTTCGATCACGTAAGTTTTCAGGGTAGAGGGTAGAGAAAAACAATGCAGTGAAACCATTCAACGGTATTCGGAAGAAAAAGATCTATAGTTCACAATGAGATTCAAATTGTGTTTTTTTGCTAAATGGTTTCTAAAAAGGCTTTACTAACAAGTTTGTTTAATAAAAAGATCACGAAAATCTAAGCAAAGTCAAACTTTTTTCCAGATGCCCGGCTGGAAAGCGGCATTTACATTTACGAAAACGGAAGCGCTCAATCTCGGCGATCGACAATGGATGCTTTATCAAGTTTGTTATCGCAAAGTGTCACAATATTGCTAATTCGATTTTGATTCTGATCATGATCGATCGATATACTTTAAACAATGTTTCAGGTAAACATCACAGCAAACTACACGAGCGATCCACATTTCGTCAATCCGTCTGGAGATTGTAAGTCAGCTAACATCTTTCAAATAAGAACTTTTCCAAAACTATTTTGTATCCACTCATTACTTTAAGCTTTTCAGCACACACCTACGTGCAATACGTTGATCCAAAGAATCCACCGGATCTCGCTGATACAATCTATGCTTCGAAATCCTACTCACTCAACTGTCCAAGCAAGCAGAAATTCGCGATCAACGACGATATCAAGAAAGGGCCGCTTGCATAGTAAAAAAAAATACTGAAAGATATTTCGAATGATCTAATTTTAGCATTCAATTCAGTCTTCTCAAACTACAGGCTTTCAAGATTTCAAGTGGATCGAATTTTGATCAAAGTTTGTTTTATTTGTATTATCTCAAATCAATTATTCAAGTAATTTAAAGGTGTGGTTTAGCAAACTTGCTAACATGAAGGCAAATGCGAAATACAAACATTTTCAGGCGAGACGTGTCCAGCCGATCAGCACAACACCGACAAAGTGCCAATCATTGTTGGCGGTGTGCTCGCTGGACTGACTGTGATCACTTTGGTTGTTTACTTGGTAGGTCAAAAATACTAAGAAACTTTACGCAAAGTGTACGAGCAATCCATCTTAAAACAGATCCTGAAATTTTGTTTCAGGTTTACCGTTCTCGACTACCACCAGAGGTCATCAACATGGTCAATCCTCACTCCCACTATGAAAACAAGGCGATCGACGATGAGGAGAATGAAGAAGATGAAGAATAAGTCCTAAACCCTGTAAATATTTTAATAAAAAGGTCATTTACTCACCCACTCATATGAAAAGCTTTAACAGCACTCAAATAAACATCAAAGAATCACAAATGCTGTACACGAGATCATAACTTAGTAATGCATGATTGGAAGAAAAGTGAAAAAGTAAACAATAAAATTGTCAAAGTTTAAAAACTCATACCTGACCAATAGAATGTTTAAAATGCAAACTGATAATTCACAAGTCGTTAAAGATTCTTCATGTGTCTTCGCGTTTGTACGTGATTGATCGTTTTCTTTCGGAGGTCAATGTAGTTGCCCGGGTTTCTCTCAACTTGTATCAATGAAGCCTTTCGGACGCTTTCCGTTGTTCGAACGCAGTAAATCTAAAATGAAAATTACATATTCGATAATTTGAGTTAAATAATTAATAAAAAAACCCATATATCTAAATTTATTCACCCAATACGGCTTACGGCCCTTTAGCATAGATTAATAAAAACTTACAATACTAATCACCAAAGCAATTAAGTTGAGCACCAAGCAGAATGGGATGAAACCGTAATAAAATGGACGCTCGAGCGACTTCAAGAATTCCAAGAACGGATCCTTGATACCCTAAAGTAAAAGTTAGAACTTAAAAACATAAAAAAAATACTCACCTTGAATTCGGTCGTCGGATTCTTCTTTCGGTGTGCACGCTCCAATTGTGCGCGCTTGTGTGCGACAACCCATTCATTCAATTCTCGAATAAAGTCATCATCAAAGAAGAGAGTCTTCAGCTAAAATAAATGGATTATGCCAATAATAAAGGAAAGAAACACCCTTGCCTTGTAAACTTATTGTTAGTGCAGTTCTAGATTTACAGCGCTCAAAAGCTTTACTCGGAGCCATGCGCTAGAATTTTTTGCAAAACTTGATAAATTTTAAGCTCTAACGTTATTCCGTGAACAAATTCAAGTTGCACTTGCATTAGAAGAGGACTTTTTGATTTAAAACCGAATTGAACATGTTTTTTTTGAAACATAGCACCACGGTTGCGTTTAAGAATTAACCAATTCTTACCGTGTCTTTTGTCATCAGTCGTCGGCATTGTTTAGGCAATTGTGCATTTAAAATTCGTTGATCTTCCGGCGCTGATGACATATAAGTTGCGTAGAGACGAGAGAGTGGTCGAAGAAAAACTTCCTAAAGAAAAGTCTAAAAAGTGTGGCAGTTTCTTGAAACCCACCACAAATTTGGCACCATTCTTCATGCAATAAGTGTCTACATAATCCCGCATGCAGAAAAGAGAACAAGTGAAATTTCTAAAATTTTGTTACTGAAATTCTTGATGAATCCACAAACCCACAAAAGTCGCCAGCATATGAGAGCACTTCGTAAGCACTAGACGATTTGCGGAGAATTCTGCGCACTTCCTTTGAGTTGAGTAGATTGCGAGTCGACTTGTACAAATTACAGTGGCTGCATCCTGAAAAAAACGTGTATGAGGTGTAATTAACTGTTTGAGCAGTAAAGCGTCTGTTTAATTATCTTTATAAGTTGCTGATTAACTCAATATTAAAATAGGCCAAAATAATCATCTATCATTTATCATCTAATTTACAACTTCGGCCAATAAAGAATCAGTTTAACTTTTTGAAACATACTTTCAGAAATATGCGCGTAGACTTTCGAACAAGGTAGTACTCCTGCAAATGTTTGTGCTTGCGAGCAAAGATACTAAAAGTTGAAGTTTTAAAAGAATAATCCCCAAGTTTACTTCAATTCCAGAAAGAGCTCCAATTGCAAAATTTCGATGAACCTTCACTTCACATGTGGCGTTCAAACAACGAACGACATTTGGTAGCGAGCTAAATCGAAAATTTTACGAGTAATAGTTGAAAAACTCACCTACAAGATGAAACCATAAAACTTTCCAAATTGCCTGCGAGGTAGTGGTTTTCCAAATTCGTGAAATATTCTTCGGAGCACTTCCGGAAGCAAGGTGGGACGGCGTCGAGTGAAAGGAGAGCGGGAGCTAAAACAAACTAATTAATACAGGATAGAAATTGAACTAATTTGACGTCTGATCAAACAAATATCATTAAAAAGGTCTTCCGTACAAAAGCTTTGCATGATAGCAAATAGTCTTATTATGATATTTATGATCAAACGAATCCCGTATCTTTTTTATCGCAAAAATGTAGGAATGTAATAAAGTATCTAACTAGAAGTTTTGCATAATCGCTACAAGCGTCTTAACTTTCGCTTTCAAGTTTCGAAACACATACAGTCACGTAATCTTATCTTATTTTTGTTCCCTTAAACTTTAATCTTATTCCGTTTATATCTTATGCTTGACTTTAAACTTTAGCTCAAATCTAAGACCCACCAACTATTGCCGCCTCTGTCGCGGGTTTTGTCGGCTCAATAGCACTTGTTGTCGAGAGTAGAAGAACCACGATGAACAATAGAGATGGTACCATCTAAAATCTAACATTAGAATGAATTGAAAAGACGAAAACAAGTAATGACAAAAAGCAAAGTGTCTAGACTTGTGATTTGCTTATTTAAAATAAACAACGCCGTAGTGGATTTGCTTATTTACCTAGCTATTAGCACTTTTCTCTCGCAATCAGCTGGCAAAAAGATTACGAACTACAAAGAGAGAACTGTGAAGGTGCTAGTGTAAATGACGGAGAAATGGCAGAAAGAAATTTATTCCTGATTTTAATATCGAAAAATGCGTCAATGATATTCAATATAAAAACTGAATATGATTTTGATTTAAAATAAAACACTTTCCATCTTTTGATTGGGAGGATTTGTTCAGCTTCGAAAATCACAAAACTGAGGGAGTGAGACAAATGCGACCTTTTTTTTGCGCACCCGGACATTTGCGCACCTTGCCCATTAGCGCACCTTTTTTCGCGTTTTAAAAAAGCTCTAAAAGCTAATATTAACCAATTTCTATTCCAAATGTTGTTTTTCTAGGTAATTTGAGGGTGTCGAATTCAAATTTTGGCATATCAGAGCTTGTGGAAACAAACGAACGGAGTTATACAAAGAGAAAAATCGACAATTTTCTGTAATTTGATCTAGCCGTTTTGTCTTTCAAATTGGTTCCACACGCTCTGTTATGTCAAAATTTGAATTCGACACCCTCAAATTACCTAGAAAAACAAACTTTTGGAATAGAAATTGGTTAATATTAGCTTTTAGAGCTTTTTAAAACGCGAAAAAAGGTGCGCTAATGGGCTAAGTGCGGAAAAAAAGGTGCGCAAATGTCCGGGTGCGCAAAAAAAAGGTCGCATTTGTCCCACTCCCCCATCCATAAAGCGTTTTGATTGGGTGGATTTCTTCAGCTTCGAAAATCACAAAACTGAATAGAAAAAGTGTCAGCTTGAACATTTCAAAGTTATCCACCACATGATCAAACAATTTTGATTTAAAATTTCAAGCTTAACTTATCCAAATGAGTGTTTTCCTCAAACGATTTGTTTGCATTCATACTTGTTTATATTTACAAGTACGCAAAAGTAAGTAAACTTTGTGACATGTGTGTCTTTGAGCCTTTTAAATGCATTTTCTTGTCACGAACTCCAGTCGTCCCGTACATTACACCATTCCCCCCTCATCCGCTCGTATCTCTCTTTGTATTCCAAATAGAGTCGATGAAATGGTGGTGACACGAGTGAATGCAAATGGATTCGATTCGCACATTTCCCCTCTTTTCTCTTCACCTCGACAAAATCACCGAATTCGCGCTCCATTTGCGCCATTCAGCCCTCTCCTTTCGGCCATTTCACAACAAAGAGTGACCACACAACTAGCCTCATTCACTTCGATATTGATATTTGTACCATGAAACACCAAAACGAGTGGAAAGGAGAGGGCTAATGGTTTGAGGAAAATGAGAATCACAAGGCAAACTTATTTTTATGCTGTTCTTGATCTTTGATCGAGGAGAGTCTAGATTATGAGTAATGAGGCTGAATTTAGTTGTTCACCAAACATAGCTTACGGTAACTTTTTCCGAAGTACATCTTTTAGAAAGGACTTTGAACCCGATGAGTGTATCCTAATTTGCATTCAAGTTTCCAGGAAAATTGTACTGGTGAAACTTCCGCTTGTGACTTCAAACTGGTGAAACTTTCTTGTAGTTCTATTCCGAACAATCTAATAGTCATTGATTAATCGAATTCCTAAGACCTTGGCTCGCATTGTTTATGGGAAGAGTGTCGATGCGATGAGTGGGGGGTGAAGAAGTGAATGGAAATGAGGGAGAAAAGAGGGAGAGATCGACCGTGAAGGACATTCACCCCCTCCATTGAATGTCCACAAAAAAAGAGCTAATGACACCCCTGTCAGCCAGTGGAATGAGATCGAGAGGCCATTGATCCAGCGAGAGAATTGATCCTCAATGGGATCGATGATAATTTTGAGTTGGTTTACCTTAAGCTCTAGTGATCCAGTGGTAAAGTTGAATTCTATTTCGTTTAAAACATTTATTAAGTACCAAAATAATACTATTCTGCCAATAAAGCTATTTCAAGTTAGATTGAAGTCTAGTACTTTGAAAAGTCTGTTATTTAAAGAGTCTAGCACTTTAAATAGTCTCTAGTACCTACAGCCTAGTACCTGGACATAATTGTCGCAACAAGGTATCACGCGCTGTAACCCTATTCGCACTATTCAACGCTACGAAGCTACGGAAACAATTGCTGATGCACCAAATCTCAAACGAATGCTACGGTTTCTCGAAGTGCACATCCAGCTTCTGTGATGGTTTTCGTCGGCATCACTGCAATAGGAAAGACTCCTCTCATATTTGTTCTCATATCCTCAAGGCGTGAAAGTCAATTCCAATAACTACCTGGCTCTTCTCAAGGATGAACTCTTGCCCTGGGGTCGTAAACATTTTGGAAATCACATTTGGCCTTATCAGCAAGATGGCGCACCGACCCACAAATCTAAGAAAGTCCAAGAGTTCTGCCAAAACAACTTCTCGGACTTCATTTCTTTTTCTGAGTGGCCACCTAGCTCTCCAGACCCCAACCCAATGGATTTTTCGGTGTTCTGAAAACCAAAGCTTGTTCAAAACTCCACAAAAACATCAAAAGCTTGAAGAAATCACTGTTGAAAGCATAGGAAAAGCTCGATCCAGCTCGATCATAATATTACATATTACGTCATTAATGGTGAAATTTCACATTATGCAAGAAAACTATTCTTTGCAAGAATTCTCAAGTTCTTAACTTAATCCAAGCCTTATCTTCCATAACAAAATTTTCTGTTCATCAAAAATCATCATTATTTTACGAGTTTCGAAACGATTAGCCACATTTCGCGGTTTATTTGAATTCACCTCTTTTTTCGAAAACCTAGAGATGTAGAGATAGAAACAGGAGCAAGGTCTCTCCTATATGCCAAAAAGTGGGAGTATCTATAGTACAAGAGTAGAGTGAAAAGGAAGGGATGGAGGCGGGGAGGGTGTACAGGGAGGGGAGAGAGTATCCTTGTCTCCTCTCCATTCCTTTTTCAGGCGCCTCTCTTCCAGTCCCCTCACGCATAACAGTCACCCACATCGATCGTGCATCATCACCGGCAAAAAAACATTGTTATGCTAGTTTCTTGATATCTATTCTTCTGTTTTCTAATCATGATTCTACGATTTTTCCTTTTTGGATCGATTTTCTTTCAAACTGTGCATTTATGGAATGAGGATGATGAAACGCAACGGATACAAATGGTAAAGATTAAAGCTAAAAATTGATTCTATTTTTCAAAATCAAGTATTTATTTGATTCTACATCGTTTTTCATACCAGTTTAAGCTTCCTATTTGAAGAAAACTTTGTTTGTGAATCTTTTGTGCGTGAATCGTTGTGAATCGCTTCTTTTGTGAATCGTTTAGAGTTTAGCTGTAAATTTGTATGTTAGATTTAGAAAGAATTATTTAAAAATGCTTGTAATCCATCAAATCTTGATCAAAGATGAATTTTAATACTTTCACAATCAATCCTAAATTCTTTACTCAAGAATTTACCCGCCTTCTTTGCTTGATGATAGGATTTGCCAAGCTGGTTCGGATTTAAGCTAATTTAAGGCTTTTGTTTATTGAAAAAGCCCAAAACCTGGATTCTTCAACTTTTGCCAATTTCAACAACTAAACTCTCAGACTTTTTTGTCCTTGGCTAGACGCCCAATCCTAATCTACTTACTCATTCGCTTTCTAGACTTCAAGGTCATTGAATTCTTAAAGAATTTAAAAGAGTAAAGTTATGTTCTTTCACCTTTCCTCTACCAAACCCGTTTACTTTCCAAAATATAATGCAAATCGTTTTATTTCCCACCGCATTTTCTATATGAGAGGACGTTCAAGGTCATCTATTGAGAATTCTTTCTTTCAGGGCAAGGTGGCAGTTTTTAACTCCTCTAAAAAGGCAATGTCTTTCTGCCTCCTTTCTAGAATCCATTACTGCTTTGTAGAAAAAATGTAGGAAAACTTAGAGATCGATTCTTCAAAACAAATCTTTGCCTCGGCTCTGAGAAAAGGTATTTCCAGAGTAATCGAGCGTGAAATCGGGCCGACATTGATCCTTTTCTCTTCAAAAGATTGATTCTATCGGTGTTCCAAATGATACAAACAAGTCCTTGAATCATAATGGGGGAAAATTGAACTGAACTTGGTTGATTGGTGAAAAATTGAATTCAATTGGCTAATTCAGTGAATCGTTTGTCCAAGTTATACTAATACACCAAGCCTAGCAATGTTTTACAAAGACTCTAGTTTTGATTAGAAGTAAAGTATTAGGGGTTTGCAAAAGAAACTGCGTATTATACGCAACGTTCAAACACCTCGAAAATTAATAATAAAAGACTTTATTCCAAAAGGTACTCGCCAAAATTATCAACTATATTTTTCCATTTTTTACGTAGACTTCGGATGCCTGATTCGAAAGATTCCGGATCTTGTGACGCAAAATAGTCTTGCACCCAAATTTCGACTTCTTGGTAATTGTTAAACTGTTGATTTGCAAGGGAGTGTTGCATAGATCGGAACAAGTGGTAATCTGAGGGAGCGATATCAGGGGAATATGGCGGATGAGGCAGAAGATTCCAGCCTAATTCTTCTATCGTGTTTTGAGCCAAGTTTGATGTGTGTACCCGGAAATTGTGAGCGAGTAAATGGATTGTCTTGGGATTAACACCTCTTTCACGTAGAATTTCATCAACTTTCTTCAGCTCTTCGGCGTAGCTTTGAGAAGTTATAGTTTTTGAAGATTTTTGTAGTTTAAAATAAACGATTCCTTTCATATTCCAAAAGACCGATAGCATAACTTTCTTTCCGTGAAGTTCTGGATGTGATGTCGGAATCGGCCTTGCTCCTTTGCTCAACCATTGTCTTTTGCGAGTTGAATTATTGAAATATATCCACTTTTCGTCCATCGTCAACATGCTTTCAAAAAAAAGCACTGCCCGTAGCCTTTTTCAATAAAATCCGAGACAATAAAACTCGATTGGCTTTGTTTTCAGGGGACAATTCATGTGGGACCCATTGGCCACAACGATTCCTTTTTCCAATAAGTGGAAGGTGTCGAGAAATTGTGCTCGAATCACATTTAAAGTATTTGGCTAATTCGGGCAAAGTTTGAGTTGGATCCGACTCGACAACCTCGAGCAACTCCGCATTATCGAGGACAACAGGACGATGTCCATGGGGCTCGTCTTCCAAGCCCTCACCTCCTTCACGAAAACGCCGGAACCATTCCTGACAACTTCTTTCACTCAAAACGTTTTCTCCAAATGCTTCACAAAGATTCCGGTGCGACTCCAATGCTGATTTCTTCATTTTAAAGTCATAGAGAAGGCAAGCCCGCAAAACGAATTTTTGATCCGTCATCTTCGACAACTAAAATTATTTATAATTCAATGGTCGAACAAATGTGAAAATCAGTAAAATAAATAAGCGTTATCAACACAATAGAATAAAATTTAAACTGGGTTAGAGCACTTTCAAATAGAGAAAATATTGTTCCGGAAAGTCATGCGCAGTTTCTTTTGCAAACCCCTAATACATTGAAGAAACTGTAGAAATTCCAGTAAAACCATAAAATATGAATAATCGTCTTTATGAAGGCATTGAAATAGAGAAAAATGTGAAAAAGTGAGTAAAAAGCTATCCCTTTTAGATCATGGATGAAGAAAAGCGTTACTACGATGATGAGCTCAAACCAGCAACTCAAATGAAATATAAACAGAGTAGTGTTTATGGTGGAGTTAGCAGACAATATGATTTGAAAAGAAGACAACCTGAGCCGACTTATGATTATGATATGGCTGTACAACAGCCAAAAGCCGAGGCATTGAGAGGGGAGAAGAGTCGATCGAAATATGCTGAACAAGGTAAACAAAAGAAGGAAATTTGTAGATAAATTTATATAGACAGCCTTTGGTATGTCTTTATAAATTAAAATCGTATATATAAAGGTAAAGCTTATCAATTTAAATATAAAGCTTATCAATTTAAACTTTAGATGAGATGGATGGTGGGAATTGGTGTTACTCTTGTGCAACCCCATTGGGAATGCTCTCTCCCGAAATGCAGACGTCGGTGAGGAACTTCTTGGACGTCCGAAGAACCGAATATCCAAGAGGTTTGAAAAGATTTGAAAATAAATAAATAAGACTTTCAGACAAAATCAATCGCGAGTGTGCAGAAGGGAAAAATGTCTCGAAAATTGTGCGAGAGAAATGTTTGCATCGATATTGTCAAACCCTCGTACTCACCGATCATAATCAAGGTTGGGAAAATGTGTAGCTAGCAAAGCTTTAGATTTATCTAAATTATAGATCTATCAAATATTTATAAAGCTAACGTCTAAAGCTTTTGTTCTAAAGCTTTTGTTGAGCTACATGGCTTGTTGTCAATGAAAGATTTGGCTCTATTAGGAAAATTCCAACCCGAACCTAATTCCACCTTCGTTTTCTCAGCCGCTTCTTGGCCGATTGCTCCAAAATTTTGTCTACAAGCTGAGAATCTCGATTTCTATCTGTAGACAAAATTTCAGAGCAATCGGCCAAGAATCAGCCAAGAAACGGCCAAGAAACTGAACTTGGTTGAAGGTGGAATTAGGTTCGCGTTGGAATTTTCTCATGTCTAGGTTCTACTAGTTCTGCTAGTTCCTGAACAACTATTTAGCTCGTGATTAAATTATTATTTACTTGATTTTCCACAAATCTTCAAAGATCAATAGAAAGATCAGTTCAAGACCAAAAGAAATAGCCATAAACCTTTTCAGGAGCGTCCTTTGTGCTCCGTGGTTGCGCCGAGAATTTCGGGGCCGTAAATGTGAAACAGTTTGAGCAACTCGAGGAGAATCACTGCAAATCGTGAGTTTCAAGAAAAAATGACACTGGCTATAGTCAAACTGAAAGAAAGAAAAAAGAAATGTTAAGCAACTAATCGACAAAGTCAAAGGAATCGGGGTAGTAGCTGGGGTTCACGATTTTCCTCAGCTTCCTTTTTTACCTTGAACCGCCAATCTAATAGATATCCAAGACGGCCTGTAAAACGCTGTAATCTAGTGGCGGTGTTAGATTGCTAGACAAATTTTAGCCAATTGTTTATCCAATTTTAGCCAATTTTAGCCAATTGTTTAGCCAATTTTAGCCAGTTGTAGCCAATTTTAGCCAATCAACTCCTTGCTTATATCTAATCAAAAACTTGGTCAATTTTGTGCTTCATTTGTTTTTAAAACTTAGAAACAAACTCACCTTTAGACTTCATAAAAACTTGGACATGCGTGAGTGCATCTGCAAGAATCGTCACTTTTGCTTTTCGGGTTCGAGTCGACGCCGTGGGTCGAACTCGTCAAAGTTCCTCTTTCTACCTCTAACAGCTTTTACTTATTTGTGTCTCACAAGATTTTTATGATATCCATTCAATTTTGAGCTTCGAACTTGTTTTTTCTCTTCTTGTTATTCTGTGATTTCAACGTATCCGAGTGCCTTTTCGAGACGAAAATCAGTTCAGAAAACTTTATTTCTTTGGTCAGTATAGATGTAAATTTCTTACAATTCGCAAAATCTTTGGCACAAACAAAAACCGATAAAGCTTCTCGAGATCTACAAAAAAAAAATCTAGGCAAAATGCATAAATCGATTTGCATAAACGCTCGCTTTCTGGCACAGTTTGCGTCAGTTTGCCAGATTGCCAGACAACGGTTATGCAAATTTAATGCTAAAATCAAAAAAAAAGCTGCGCGTTACCAGTGAAAATTCAAGTGAAATTTTTGGAAAAACAAAAAAGAAATATCACAGTCTGTAGGGAAAATGCTTATTATTGACTAGTTGACGTTTTTTGGGGTGTTAGGGTAAAATGAGAAATGTTAGGGTAAATTGTTCTTAGGGTAAGGATCTCAAATTGTTTATAAAATGTTAAATGGTGGCAAAATATTTGGATGCGGTGAATCGAGACTGATCTCAACCATTTGACGACGATTACTGCGAGAGACCGCTTCACGGCTTGGACTCTGGAAAATGAGATGAATTCGGTTTAAATAAAGATTAAGAATAAAGAATAGGTTCAAAAGTTGATCAACACTATTGAGAGAGCCAACAACAACGCTATTCCCAACAAGGCTATTCAACAAAATGTACTTCTTGCTCTAAATCAAAACGCAACCTTTCTGGCGTACTTAATTCAGCCATTCCCACGATTAGGGCAACAATGTACACTAGAAAAGGTGTATTTAGATTTATGAGTTCGCAACAATTGGCTACAAATACAATTTCCTTCAAATCTCCTCTCCAAGATAAGCTAACAAGTTTCTAAGTTTATCTAACAGTTTTTAGACTAGCCAAACCCGTACTCCAATTGATAGACTCAATAAAATGCATAGCTTCAATCGATTCGCGATTTCGAAAACCCCCGGAAGAAATTTAAGCTCAATATCTCCTTTTTGTATCATCTACAAAGCAAAAGGGAAATCTCTAGATCACTGGTGAGGCGTTCTTTGTGCGGTCGGGCAAAGGCTCGTCGTCTGGCACACGTCCTCGATAGATAGGTGTTCCCGTAAAGGAGAAGGAGGACCTTTTAGGATGCTGTCAACATTGAAGTCGATTGATGATGTGCAACAAACCTTCGCGGACTAGATCTACTCCCTGATAAGAAATCTTCCACAAGAACAGAAACTGCGACAAATGCGGAAAAGAAGTCCAATTCAGAAAGAAACGGGGATCATTAGAAGTATATATTTTGAACGAATTTACATGTTCTGTTAGAATTTGGTTTAGTAGAGATGTGGTGAAATAAAATCAAGGATTATTCAAGGAGCGAATTCAATATTCATTATTCAAGGAGTCAAGGATTAGGAACTATAAAGGAACTATAAAGGAACTATAAAAGGAACTAAATAGGAACTATGAAGGAACTATGAAGGAACTATAAAGGAACTATAAAGGAACGCTGAACCACTCCGAAACTTTCAAAAAGTAAACACTATTGAGTGCAGTCAAAAAACGAAACTACTGGTTGATCAAGTGTCGATTTCAAGTAGATTCGTAGTCGTCGGTAGATTGACAGTAGATTTCAAGACAATGAGTTATCCAATCAATTGTATCTGATATAGTTAGTAAGTTGAAGCGAAACTAAAAAGATCCACTAAGTCCAAGATCCGCCTGGGTTTTTCAGTGCTAGGTAAATGGATTAGTCAAACCAGTAAGTACATAGAGCAGTTCAATTTCTTACAATTAGTTAGTTTTGAGCTTTTACAATTGTTATCTACAATTTATCTACATGATTACCTTTGAATGACAGAAACAAGTGCCATCCTCGCATTCCCCTCCTCCACCATCTTCATCGGCTTCACTCTCTGACGGGAAATCGATCAAAAGCATAGAAGAATTCTTGAAAAGATAAATTTAGATTCGTTTCCCATTTCTTTTCCCACCATGATCACCACGACAATAGCACCAAAGAAAAATGAAAGACGAATGCAGGCAGACGACAGAAAACTCAATGCTGAATCGAGAAATTGGTTTGATAAACTCAAAAAAAATCCCAGAGGTTTCTCCAAATATCATGCTGCAAGCTGTTTATGAACCTGAATATAAGAGATATTCGGTGCACTCATGATCATCACATTTTGAGCGGGAGTGGTAGCACGACTTGATGGACGAGAGGCATCTCGAGATGGGGAAAGATCAGGAGCTAAAGAAATAACTTTTAAAGCTAATCCCAAAGCTAATATTATTGTTATTGCTTTGTATAGCGGTTACTTGATTTAATTTATTTTAAAATTTAGCTAACCATCTTCTAATCTGCTAATTCTGTTCCTTAGTCAAGTCTATTACAAAGTTGACTGACCTAAACCTGAACTAAGTCAGTAAAGTCAGGCCAATACCTGGCTCCTGGTCACTTCTATTACAAAGCTAAAGGAAAAGCTAAAGGAAAAGCATTTAAAGCTAATTCTAAAAGTGAGAAAATAAAACCCACCAACTAGCGGCCACCCTCGATCACTCGTGAATCCATAGGGACTCACGTAGTCATTCGCCGTGTAAACGGTTCCCATTCTCTCCTTTTTCAGCTCCTCCTCAATTTTCTCACGTCGACGACATTCTCTAAAAATGTTTAAATCGGAATTCATTTGAATTTGTTTTACCTATTGATTTTCTCCTTTTCCTCTCGCTGTTCCCTCTCAATGCTTTCTTGTCGGCGTTGCCTTGATCGCCCGATTTGTTCTTTCACTTCAGTCTCATTTGTGGCGATTGGGAGCTGTGATCGACCTCTAGCACTCATTGATCTGTTATCTAAATTTACTATGTACAAATATATGTTTGTTTTAAAGAGGGATTAATTTTTTGAAGTGCATTTTTAATCATTTCTCAATCTTACGCAACTCCCTTGAACTCTCGGGATCTTTAAGCTCGACTAACAATATTTAAGGCTCTCAAATTCGATAATTTTTGAAAGCAATCTGACTATTTTTGGTTAAGTTTTAAAGAAAAATCATTCTTCTTTCAGAAAGATGCTCAAAATTTGCTTTTAAGGAAATAAAAACTGGTTTAGAGAACGAATTGTAGACTGAAAAACGCGACAAAACTGAAAAGCAGTATTGGCTCAAGGAAATAATATTAAAAAAACGTTTTTGAAATCACACTTTCCATATCTTCAAGTTTATATGGTTAGCGTAGAGTGAAAAGTTGTAAAAATTAAAACATGAGATACTTTAGACTTTTCACAAGTTTTATTATAGGGATGAGTCTACTAGGACAGAACTTTTTAGCCATCCAACAATTCGCTAACAAAAGACTAATGAATTTGAACCATTTTGTCTACCGAAATGTTAGGGTTTTTGGTTTGAAAATAGTGCAAAGGAAGCTAACAGAATTAATAGGTCGCGTCCGTTTCCTTCCTATTTGCGTTGCTATTTTGCAATTATTCGCGTCGCATTTTTCGCCCTTTTCTCCCTTCCCGAAATTCTTTTTTTTTCGTCTGCGGGTTGTTTTTGCCTTCTTTCTTGGGGGACTTTGTTGTTTCATTTTGATGCGCATGCTGTTTTTGTAATGGGTATTGTTGCATTTTGGTTCTGTACTAATAAACAGTAACGTTATAAATTCACTTTGCTTTATGCTACCCTTCAGGTTTTAAATCCTGCTTAGATAACTGGTTTAACATTGTAGAGAGACTGGTTTTACTAACATTTGTGTCACCATCGACGTAGTATCAATCCGATCCGTACTCTTCTCAAGAGTATTAATCTATTGTTGGATACTACGTGTTCTTGTGACGTTATAAGCGCTTTTGGGGAAACCCTTTTTAACCTTTTGTGCTATTCGGCCATTCTTAAGCAGAATCATCCTCGTGGATAAGGTTAAAGCGGGTCGCACCCCAAACTAATAAATAAAAACTAAAATAAGTTTAAAAATAAGCTCACTTCTTTCCGATGAATCAGATCTCTCGGACGCGGCGTTTCCAAGTGGAGAAGATGGGCCGGGCGTTGATTTCTACATTTGAAATTCATTTCTACATAGAAATTATTGCATTTTTAAAAAAATACCTGTTCAATTTGTAGCGTAGCCGGTCTCTGTTCTTGAATCGCTTTGATTTGCACGATGTGCTCGTTGAGAAGTGGTTGATGTCGCTCTTGGACCCGTTTGATTTCGACATTAAGAACTCGTTGATTATGGATTTGATCGACTTCTGATTCAGAGGACAAGTATAGTCTAAAAATATTGACAATCTGAATTGTAGATTTTGTAGATTCCTTTTGGTATTATAGTTTTGAAATAAATAAACAACAAACCCCTGATTCGAGTTGACACTTGTGGCACTGAAACGATTGGCAGAGTTTGGCGAAGGATGGCGATAGTGGACGAAATCTCTAAAAGAAAATAGAGAATGATGAGCCTGTTTAATATAAAAAGCATTGGAGATAGATTTTTGCAGACCTAGACTCAGATTTTGATATTGGTGGGTCAGGCATTGGCCCGCGGCTCCTCCTTTCTTCCGTCACCGTCTCGCGCTCCTCGGTGACCCGCTTGTTGACCAACTGAAAAGTTAAAAATTGATTTCAAATGCACTACATCTAGCATTTTTTTTGTTAAATATACTTGGGCTAGTTTTTAAAAGAGATTACTAACTAAAGATCAACTTTAATCCGGCTCTGATTAACTCTAGCGGAACTAGAGTTGAGTCTGAATAGATAGATTCAGATTCAACAAGAATCTGAATAGATTTTTGCTGTTGAATTCCCTAAACACACTTGGATATAAGGGTATTGCATCAAAGCTATATCTAACAAGGAAAAGGCACTGAGTCTAGCTGATCTTTGACTCACTGACTGATCTTTGGCTTTGATCTTTGGCTCACTCAAGATCAAGTCTTATAGAGTCGATCAAGACTTATAGAGTCGGCCATGGGGATCTCGAATCCGTTCTTTGTTTTGGCAAAACGTGAGATCTTTAAATTTCAAACTCCTTAAGAAGCCGCCATACACTCCCTTAACATCTGCTTTGGTGGTGCGTGAATAGTCTGCTATACTACCGAACCTGTTACTCTTTTGTCGCCAATTTCGAATCCCACTCTCGCGAGACTTTTTGCTTTTTTAAAAAACTATTTCCCTGAGTATTTGCAATGAATAAACAAGTTGAATTTTATTCTGTAGCTTTCACCGCTTTCTGTAGCTTTCAGAAAAGCGGCAAAAAGTGTTAAACTTTTCAATACTTATCTATTGATTTTGTTCTTTTGTATTTGCTCTTTTGTATTTGCTAAAGTTACAGAAAGCGGCGTAGAAAACTCGATAAATAATTCAATGCAAATGCGTTGAGAAATAGTTTCTTAAGAATGCAAAAAAATTTGGCAAGAGTGGGACTTGAACTTGCAGGTTTTTACCGGTTCGGCAGTCTAGCAGACTATCCACTAAGCCACCGAGACATTTGATTGAGAAGCGTGTGACAGCCCCATAAGGAGCTCGAAATGCAAATTGATTTTCTATGCAAAATATCTTATTTTCTTATATTCTTGAGGGTTCTGCAAAAACTAAAAACGGATTCGAGGCCGACTCTATAAGATGGCCGACTCTATGGCCGACTCTATGGCCGATGGCCCAGGCCGACTCTATAAGATGGACTTGGTCTTGAATCAAAAGGCCAGCTCGACCCGGTGCTTTACTTGACTGAATTGACTCCTTGTAAGCGCTGTTTACCTCTTGCCAGTGTTTCTTTTATAATCATCAACTATTCAATTAGCTAAAAGATAAGTGATGTCCGAAAAAAGTGCCCCTTCACCAAGCAGCGTGCAAACCAAAGAATAAACTTAAAAAGAAAGCTTACAGCCTCAGATCCATACGGGAGAACGGGTCGATTCATGAATGATTGAATCTCGTCGCAGTACTCTCCTTGCTTCGTTTGACGATGTTGTTGATTGATTGATTGATTTGATGATCTGTTTGCAGAAACCACCACCGAAGGCCACACGGACTCTGAGACAATGAGTAGAGGAGAGGAATTAGTGAGCGAATTGGGATATTTAGAATGTTAGAAGTCATGCTTATTGTTTGTGTTAGGTCATGCTTATTGTTTAAACCAACCATGTGATTCGCTATTTGGTCGGGATCTCGATGGAGGTTTGACAACAGTGGGAATGGTTGGCGATGGGCCGGTTGGAGTCTTTCTGATCACCGAATACATCAATCCAGTTGAGTCTTCTGGTGTTCGGGAGGAGCCTTGGTGAAGCTAAAGATTAGAAATTGAGTTATATAGGGTCCTGCTAACGATTTATGAAGTAGACGATGTAGCTAAAGAACTTTTCTACTTCTACAAAACTACAGAACTACAGAACTACAGAACTTCTACAGAACTACAGAACTACAGAACTTCTACAGAACTTTAAGTCTTCTATTTCTGACTTTTGAACAGAAAGGCTTTAGAGCCCAGACTTTCAACCATAGCAGGTGCCGATTTTTCTTTCTCTAGTCTTGTTTTTATTCCAAAAAAGATGCTTTTTATTGGTCAACAGCTAGCACTAAATGGATGCCTTAAAAGGTTTCTTTCTTTTCTTTCTTTTCTTTCTTTTCTTTCTTTTCTTTCTTTTCTGTACGTTGATGGCCTAGTGGATAACCGATTAGATTACCGCCCAGACGATCAGGGTTCTGTCCCTGATGCGGCCCTTTGTTTTCCTTTTTCTTTTAGAGCAACTTCTAGCATTTTGCAGCTAATTGTAGCCAGAAAAAGGCTCATCTTGAGTTTAGCTCACCTTATGCTTTTCCCTAGTAAGCTAACAATAAAACTAACCCGATCAAACAACTCTGGTGTCCGTTCGGGAATTGGTGAAGTTGGTGGAGCTGGCGCGTATTCCCCAGCCGGGTTTACCGAGATCGATAAGGCGCTTGGTGGAGTCACTAAATCGAATAGAGAAACTAGATTGTCAGATTTTCAATTATAGAAATAAGATCGTCATATTTACACTTTACATTTATATTTCTTTTTTTCTATGCTTCTATGCTACTCATTTTGCTTACACTGCGAATGACGAGAGCTTGTTGACGACGGTTGTTGTTCTCTGACTCGACTATATGTTGTGCTCGTTCCATCAACCGTCTCATATTCATTGCCAATTGTTGAATAGTAGTGCTCTCTGATTGGAAGACCACCGGGCCCAAGTTGACCTTGTTGACGGAGACGTTCTCGGATCACCTGAAACTTATGGAATGAGCTTGAAACTGGTATCCAGTCATGAAGCACTTCCGTCTTGGAAGACTCTATCTGTTTGTCTACCTAAATCTGAATCTGAATGACTATCTGAATCAGTATCGGGCCCAAATTCATACTAAATTTTGCCAGCATTGCCTACCTCAGCACTCTCTCGAACAGTGATGTAGCGATAGGATGGTTCTCGACCGGATGTGTCGTCACCTTCCTAAAAGCTTCGAAGTTGCAAAAAGAAGTAAAAAAATGTGTTTACAACATAGTCAGAAAGATCAGTTTCTTTAGATTAGACCAAAGCAGCTCACTAGGAAAAGGCACGAGCTTGTGAGCTTTTGTCTGAACATCTAGTGCACTTTATAGAATCTTTATAGAATCTAGTGCAATTATAGAATCGGGTATGAGGAATCCGAATCTGACATCAAAATCTACCAAATGAATTTCCAGGCGTGTAAAACTTCAATCGAAAATTTTGGTGTTAAAACGGAAGAAAAACAAAGACAAAAAGCTGAATCAGGAACCAAACCCTGATCGTGTGAGCGGAAGCCTAAAGCGTGCGCCACTAAGCCATCCAGGCAGTGTGACAACAGCGGCTAGGACCCGCCTTCTCCCCTAGGAAAGAGCCTTTTAAAGCATCCGTTTTGACGCCAAATTTTTGATTGAAATTTTGCTTTAAAAGGCTTTAAAACGCTCCTTCCTGGAACAGGAGAGGTGCTTTGGTGGCCTAGTGGATAACGCATTAGACTAGCGCCCACAGGATCGGGGTTTCGTCCCTGATCCGGCTTTTTGTTTTTGTTTCTCTTTTGAAGTAATTTCTAGCATTTTGTAGCGCATTGCATTATGGTTTTTCTTTTAATTTCTTCGATCGTATATCGTTTACACAATTGCAGTTACCAGATTGCAATCACCATAATGCAAACCTGTCCATTCGCCGCTCTTCCCAAATCTTCTCTCAACACCTCTCCGTTCGTTTGTATGAGATCAATTTGGTGACTGGTTCCGGGCAAAGGAGAAACCGCCTAAAGATTATATGGAAAACATTTCTCTAAATCGAAATTTATCTAAACTAAATGCTAAATTCTCTCACATCTCTTCTCTCATTTCTCCTAATTTTGCTGTACAATTGATCGAGCTCAGCTTCGGTCTTTTCTCGTTCAGCTTTCGTGCTTGGTTTGACCTGAAATAGATCAAGTTATAAGCTAATCTTGATTAAGATAAGGTTAATCTTGATTAAGATAAGGTGAATCTTAATTAGATATGGTTAATTCTAATTAGATAAACAAACTTTTGCATATCCTGGGTCATAAGCGCTGCTTGAGTCGTCTTCTTGTTGAGCTAGGGCTACTCGAGGCTCGGAAGCGATTGAGCTAAAATTTACTCTTTTTTTAACCGTACTTTTACAATCTAAGTAACAAGTAAATTTAGATAATATTTAGATAATTTAAGTTTAGATTTATTTAGATAAATTTTGATTTTGATAACAAGTATTTTAAAGTTAAAGTTAGTAGCTTCGAAGTGAATTATTAGATCAAAGCTTTAAACTCAATAAACATAAACAAGATCACGTTGTATTCGCTGTAAATAAATCAGCTAATATTTCCTCAATCATTTACGCATGGCTGCATGACCGACTGGCTAAGAACATTGGATCTTAGTCGAGAGGTCAAGGGTTCAATCCCGCTGTTAGATTATTGGCGAGTTATTGGCTATTTCTTTTTTCTATATGGGTTTTTTCTCTACATTAGGGCTCAGATAATCTAGCCGATAATCTATATAGATAATCTAGCTAAATTCTAAGCCCTAAGGCTTAGAATTCAGGCTAGATTTAGGCCTGCTTGTGTATTGTTTGTACCTCGTGTAAATCTATTGGGTTGTCCAGTTATGAATGCGCGTTTTTACTATTTTGTAAATTTCTCAAGATATCGAAGAGATGTATATGAGTGTTATATATCATTCGAAAGCTGAAGATCTCCTCTACATTTTGGAATAAAAAAAGTTTTTAAATTCGTGCAACTTTTTGGGAAATTGACTGCACAAAGGGAGAGGTCGTTTTCAAAAAAAAACCATTCCAGCTTAGCTATTCCTCAAGTTTTATAGTGTAAAATAACCGCCCAGAAAAGAAAAGAAAAGTAAAGATGCTCTGAAATTGTTATATTTTAAAAAAGTTGTATTGATATATCTATTGGCCAAACATCAAACGGTTAACTCAATTTGAGCGGAGCCAAAACTTGATCCAAAGGCCCCTTTCCATTTTTTGGCCACCTCTTCTTCTGTGCAGTCAATTTGCCCAAAAGCTGAACAAATTCAAAAACTTTTTATATCAAAAAGTAGAGGAGATCTTCAGCTTTCGAATAATACTCATAGTGCAATTGCACAAATGGATATGGGAATGAAAAATGCAGTTGCTTCAAATCAAACGTTGTCTGCAATAGTCGTTTCCACCACAACAATAATTGCAACCACAAGTTGAAATCGCATTAGAAATCTTTCTTGATTTCGGTATCTTGAGAAATTTACAAAATAGTAAAAAACGCGCATTCATAACTGGACAACCCAATAGTTTTGTTTTAGCCAACCTATACGGATCTTCACTTCCGGGTGCATAGATTTGCGAGACACTCTGATAAAAAGGATCATCCGTTTCTTTGGCTCTCGTGTTTTTCATGAACACTGGATAATCGTATCGTCTTGTCGAGCGATTCTCGGTGACCTGAGATGAAAATTTAAAATAAATCAAGCTATGAACTTTGATAAATAGATATGGAATACTTTAATAATCTTGATAATTTAATAATCTTAATAATTTAATAATCTTAATACTTTAATCATCTTAATACTTTAATCATCTTAATACTTTAATAAATCCTTTAACAAGCCTACCTTTGAATACAATGGATCAATCGTCGAGTCATTGTCCCTGTCAATGCTCTCGTAAAGTTGTGTGGCTGGCCCATCCGCGTATTCAATCTCTTTTTCACTCCGATTTTTATTGATTGCAGAATAAGTCTAAAGTTAAATTCGATTTTAATAAATTAGTGAATAAAACGAACACTATCGGGCAATTCGGGTAAAGCTCTTTGACCAGCTGGTGGAGCAGAGGTTCGCGATGGAACGGCCGAGTTTGAGGAAGACTAAAGCAATCAAATAAATAATGATTTGTAAATAAATAAAGAAATCATAAACAATAAATAAACAATAAATAAACAATAAATAAACAATAAAACAATAAAACAATTTGCTATAGCTTTTGTAAAATTTTAAATGAATAATAAAAGATTTTACCTTAGTAACTGGCTGTGAAAACCTTTCGCCGGCATTTTTGTGACTCCCATTCCTGAACTGAACAGTTTTGGGGACGTCCTCGGAGACAACAATCACTCCATAAGCCACTTCGTCAGGATCACTGAATTTCTCTTATTTTGTTTTGTCATATTAAAGCAAAGGACTAGACTTTTTTCAAGCACTAAGCTTTATATTAGATTTCATTATATTAGACTTTATATTAGACTAATACTATATAAGCAATGAGGTCACTCCATAAGCCTCTCCTTTATTTACAATGAGCCTCTCCTTTATTTACAATTTTACAAAAACCAAACCATAGATTTTACGGATATTTTAGTATGATGATTATGAAAGGTTTGCCATAAATGAGCTGAATTTTAACTTGATCTGATGGCTGTGCTTTGAGGAATCTTTAGAAGACTAAGCTCCGGTTTATTAAAGCATGACCATGTAAAAATGTATTGTTAGTTGATCAGCAAGTACGATTTTCTGCTTTGAAGCTTTGGTTTACCGTTTCGATTTACTATTTTCAGCTTAGTTTTGATTTAGCTTAGCTTTGATTTAGCTTAGCTTTGATTTAGCTTAGCTTTTCAGCTTGGCTTTGATTAGATTTACTATTTACTTAGATTAGATTTACTATTTACTTAGATTAGATTTACTATTTACTTACCTGTTTTTCACCTTCTTGCAACACGTTGTGCACATCGAAACCATTGTGATCATCGTGACGAGACTGCCGATTGAGAGGATGCTCATCGTTATCGGTGGCAAAGCTCCGATCACCGCTCCTCCCATCAAGCCCGACCCTTCCACCAACACCATTTTGTGTGCTAGATGATAAGATTGCTCAAGTAGTAGCCAGTTTCCTCACTAAAAAGAACAAAGGTGAAAACGGAAAAGAACAAAGGTGAAAACGGAAAAAGAACGATCAAAAATGAAAGGAAATTATCACATTGATAGGCAATTATTTTGCTGGATAATGGCTCTGAAACATCCAAACGATAGAAATCTGCAATCCGATCGAATTCAAAAGTGAAAACCTATCAATTACAAAAGAATGATGGATGAAAGAATGATTATTTGATAGAAATGATGATAGAAAACGACTTTACTTGATTCTAAACCTATTTAAACTTTAGATAAGTACAGTTATTCTTTGTCCAAGCGATACAATTATTGAGATTGAGAAGATATAACAAAAAAGAACCTAAATCTTATTAATCTTATTAAGAAAAATTAAAAATTCTTTTAAAATAGCGTCAAAAATGAGTCAAATGGGTGATTTGTCAAGAGAAAAGATTGAGTGGAAAGAAGAGGTCAAGAGAAATAAAGGGCTTAGGGGGAGGTGACCCCAAATAATCGATGAATAGATGCAATGGATGGGGGAAGAAGGGGGAAAGAGGTGACCACTACAAAGCAACAACAACGAGAGTGGGCATTTGGAGAGACGGAGACATTTGGGGAGAGACCATTGGTCAGCTGGCATTCATTGTGCTCGAGCTGAATATGGAAATTGGAAATCGCCTCGAGATGGATGATTGAATCGAGTTTTGAAAGTTTTGGATGATTGAATCGAGAGTATGATGTACCGGCAGCAAAGCAAGCCTTGTACAACTCTTGTACAGCAAAGCAAGCCTTGTACAGCTCTTGTACAGCAAAGCAAGCCTTGTACAGCTCTTGTACAGCAAAGCAAGCCTTGTACAGATAACAAGGGATCCAGAGCTAGCAATTGCTCTTCAATATGCTCAGAAAACAAGCCAAAAGATTAAAAATAACGGGTTAAATAAGCAAAAGTTAAGGATTTTACCTTCTCCGAAATGTTAGACTTGTTTCGAGCTTACAATTAGACAATTAGAGCTTTTTAAGCATATACAAGTCGAGATTATGCCATGCACGTTGAATCACGGTTTTGAGAGCGGTAGAATGCTTCATGTTATTCTTGTCAACATGTCAACATTGTGAACAAAGAATCTCCAGAGATTTTCGATGGGATCAAGATTAGAGTGTGCTCTTCACAAATCATGTTTTCTAAAAGCACAAAAAAATAACCTTAATCTCTCAGCTTAAAGGTATAGATTTATTTATCTTTTTCAAAGTCAAAATGAAAGTTTTAAATCTTTTTTTGCACGAACAGACTTGATATTAGTTAGGACAAGCATAGGATAAATAGTAAATGAGTATAGGTTTATCATATTCTTTAGTTTACCATATTCTTCAGTTTACCATATTCTTCAGTTTACCATATTCTTTAGTTTACCATATTCTTCCCTATGTTGATTCGAAAAATCAATATTTGTTTCGAGAACTATAAAATTTTGATTGAAATAGAAAAACGAACGTTCAGAAGCGCATGTAGAAGAAAAAATAATGAAAAGAAAAAAAGGCAACCCAAAAAAGCTTTTAAAAAAGAGTGCTTTTTAGAAAACATGATTTGAAGGATCCGCGTTGAAATAATGGTTATGTTGATTTGAGAGAAAGAGTCTAGGTAGAATACTTCGTGTCATTCTTGTAAACATCGTGAACAAGGAACCTTGAGACATGGGATTGAGATCGGGACTGCATGCTGACCAGGCCAAAACGGGAATGTTCTCCAATCCTTAGTCGAACAGCTAGCGTGAATGGATGCTTTATCGTACGCAAATCTGAAGTTATTACCAGGATTTCGTCAAAAATAGCCGACTAGATGCTTGTCTAACACATTTTGGCATTCATTCAAAGAATTCATGCGCGTTGAAATAACGGTTATGTTGCGCCAGTAAAGCCTTCAAATTATTGTGTTGCGCCAGTCAGCCTTAAGCTTTTAAATCATTTTGTCTTTCTAGCATAGTGTTAAAGGCGGTAGTAAACAACAAGAAATATCAAATTACAGCAACTTAGTCGTAAAGCAGAATGCAACTAGCCTAATTTTTTTCTCTACAGCTTTTACCATAAATTTTTAGCAGCACATGTTTAGCAATGTTGTTCAAAAATTCAAGCAAAAGGAAATTTTCAACTCGTTATAAATAAAGAAATAATATTTTCCTCCAAAACTGAATCACAACATGAATCGTAAATTGGTAAGGCGATAGCCAAGGCAAAGCAACCTGAGCGCTGCTCTCTAATCAGTGAGAATTCGCATAACCCAGCCATGAAACCCCAAGGAAAGACAGAAAAAATTGAGAAAAGCCTCATGAATCAGAATTCACAATCAGATCCAGAATTCACAATCAAATCAATAGGTCAATCATCAATCAACCAACGCCCTGTTTTTAAGCATTATAAGCAGAGCTTAACTATAAAATATAGAGCTTCGAGCAGAGCTTAACTATAAAATATATATTAGTAATAAAGCGTAACAAAAAGATCCATAAAAGACAAGAATTTAAATGACATGGCTTGTAATTAACCGAAAGAAAAAAAAAACATAATACCATACCTAGTAAATTCAATAGTTTGCGCAGCGAAATACCGGATTTTAAACAAGCTGAAAGATGAAAGAGAGAGGGAGAGAGGCAGAGAAGCTGGCAAGCCGGTCAGGGGAAGCACCTTATGCCGGGACAGTTTGCCAGATCGCGAGCGATTACCCGGCCGCACAAAGAACACCTCGTCAGTCATTTACATTCCTCTTCTTTTGCTTTGTAGATGATATAAAAAAGAAGATATTGAGCTTGGATTTGTACCCGAGGGTTTTCAGGGTCGGCGAATCGATTGGAGCTATTCATTTTATTGAGTCTACTAATTAGAACTCGGATTTGATTGGTCTAAACGATTGGATGAATTCGGAAATTAGATTGGCGTTATTTTAAGTCTACCTAACAAACTTTTGAGTGATTTGGGCGATTCTGTGTTGATGTAAGCATCGTAAAACAGTAAAAAGGTAAAACGGTAAAACGGTAATGGTAAAAGGAAAAGAGACAATGTTTTTGAATGAGTCAAAAAACCCTAGCCAACCAATTGACAAAGCAAACCATTGCCTCTCAAGTCTACCAGCAAACCATTGCCTCTCAAGTCTGTGAAAAGAATGGAATCGGTTAGCTAAACGGCTCCAAGTGAAAGAGGATTATATTGCCATTTGGTGGCATTGAAAAGTCGTATGGAATCCGAGATGCAAGAATTTTTTTTGTGAAAGAAGAAAAGAACGTCGCGACTAGACAGGGCACGCAACAGAAAAGAAAAGAAAAGGGAAAGGAAAGAAGGGAAATGACCGGAACTGCTCAAACAATCACTGCACTGCTTAGCCAAGGATTCGACGTTTTTCTCGGAGAGTGACCAAATGACTAGTTTACTTAGAATGCAAGAGTTTGTAGAAAAAGAGATCTAGTCCTTAGAGTTTTGATAAGAAAACTGGAAGATATCGATCTGTAGATCTAGATGTACAGAGTATTCTTACTAATTACTTATTTACATCTACAGGACATTCCTCATTACAACTCTTTTTAATCGTTACTTTTAGCCAAATTCTAAATTATTAGGTTGTTCGGATATAAACAAGCGTTACTAAACTTATCGTTGTGAGGGAACCTTTTAAAAAATGTCTTTCTGTATTTAAAAGTACGTTATCTTGTGTATATTTGGAATCTTTTTAAACGGATAATTTCTTATTTTTAAGATCTCTTTTTCTTACTTTAGATGACCAACTTCAAATGTATCAAGTTGCCTACTTTACGTCTGCCTAGGTCTGCCTACTTTACGACTTCAAACTGGGCAAAACAGTCGCGGAATCCCATCGAGATTTGGTCAAAGCGTACTGTTATAATTTTTAAGATAAGAGTTTCAAACGGAACGTAGAACAAATCCTGAAGATCGTAAAATCCTGAAGAGAAACTTGGTAACTTTTAAAAAAGTGCAAAAATTGCAAAAACTGATTGATTGCTCAAAAGAGCTCATTGCTCTTATTCTAGTAAGTAACTTTGTTGCTCAAAAGCTAGTAAATCTCTAATTGTTATAATAGTAATTCACTTTTTATTCTTATTCTTTCAAGAACAAAGTCTAAGCCGTCAATATGGCAGAAAGCAAACGAATGACCATGACCTCACAGTCTTCCCTTTTCCCCAACAATTCCAAAGTCCATAAAAACTTTCTAGCGGTCACATAAAGAAATTGGAGGCTTAGAAAGGCAATGTTCCTATGAAATTTCAGAAAAAAAGCTTGAGCTAATACAATAAAGCTTTTTAAATAACAATAAAGCTTTTTAAATAACAATAAAGCTTTAGCTAGACTAGAATGCGAATAAAATGTTGAAAATAAAACTGATCAACGTTAACCAAGCAATACAACAACAACAAGTGGACATTACTTCGAAGAAGAGTTGGATCAATGACGATTCTTGCTGTCAATGCAAGCATTTGTGCAAATTTTGTGAAAAATTTTGTGCAAAATGCTGGCGTGGCAGTGCATAGAAGGACTTTGGAAGGGAAAAACTCTTTTGAGTGTTTCCGGCAATTCGCCTTCTCGACGATGAAAGAGTCATTTTCCCCTCAAAAGTCTCATTCCAACAGCTGAACAAACTTTAAACCTTTGAGTTTTGAAAGCTATAAATTGTAAAAGAAAATTTGAAAATCTGGCTTTAGCTATTGGCTTTAGCTTTTAGCTTTAGCTATTGGCTTTAGCTTTTAGCTTTAGCTATTGGCTTTAGCTATTGGCTTTAGCTTTTAGCTTTAGCTATTGGCTTTAGCTATTGGCTTTAGCTTTTAGCTTTAGCTATTGGCTTTAGCTATTGGCTTTAGCTTTTAGCTTTAGCTATTGGCTTTAGCTATTGGCTTTAGCTTTTAGCTTTAGCTATTGGCTTTAGCTTTTGGCTTTAGCTTAATAATCGC